CGCCTACAGGCAGAATCCTTTGGCAAATGTTTAATTGTAGGCATTTTTTCTTCCTGGAAGGGACTCTTTCTTTGCCATATCATAGACATCTGTCTGTTTAAAATACAATTTTGTTTTGTGCTTTTAGAAAGTCGTATGTATGTCAGACACCCATCTTTAATACATCAATACTTCAGTCTTCTGATTTGGTCCTGGAAAAGCAGTACAAATAGAGAGTAAGTTCGGGGTGTGCTGACATCCTGCAGAAGAGGGACCTCTTCAGCACTGTCACTGCCTTTAAAGAAAACTGGTTGTATATTGCTTGAGCCAATTATTTTGCTCTTCAACTGTGTGAATTTACCACTCCCTAGTAATATCCAGCATTTCTTGTACTAAAGAAGGCCTCAGTCTTTTTCACCATGCATATTTATAAAATCTGCTGTTAGGACAATTTGCTTGGGCCATACTACTGATCTGGTAACATATGTATTACTTCTTTTCTTCAGATGCACATGGTTAAATACCACTGACCTGGTTTTTGTCAGAATTATGTTTGAATACTTAGATAAAATCTAAAACCTGCTACTATCTGGAAAGTAATTTCTTTTAATGATTTTAGTAAAGAAATATTAAACAGCTTTATTATTTGGCTAAAATAAAATTTAGTAGAAATTATCAGTATTAGCCTTTTAAATTTCAAAATTGCTTTCTGGCTTCCTATAAGATGCTTGTAAATCAGTTAAGTCCTACTAGAAACATGGAAAAAAGGCTTTTTAAGTGAGTTGTATCATTAAAATCTCATGATGAAGTCATAATATGTTTTGCTTTTGATCTGTATATGGACAGGACTAAAATTATAATTCAATCTTTACTTAGATCCATAGGTCCTAACTACAGCAGTGCCCATCTTGCTCAAGAATTTAGCATGGCATATGCGTTACTTTTTGATAGAAATAAAGTAGCTCAATATTTGATTACTAGAGGAAGTATTGGAATATGGTAATCACATATTTGACTTCATCTGCAGTTATAAAGCACTTAGGTTGGGTAGTAGTAAAGATGGCAAAAGTATTTTTTTTCCCAGCAATCTCATTGAAATTACCTTGGCAAGCAAGTCTGTCTAGTAATGTGCTGATTCTGTAACAAGGAAAGTTGTAAAAGAGCAGCACTATAAAATAAACAGAATAAAATCAAAGAGATCTTTCCACTGGGGTGATACGTTCCTCAAGAAAATAGGAACATTCTGCTATTGTATTCCTCCCCCAAGAAAGCCCCAACTGACACAAATGGGTGACTACATAGCTGAGAGAGGCTGGAGAGTCCATTAGTAGTTTTTGAGATTAGACTGCAGAGTTTAGGGTAGAAGCAATATGATGCTATCTGTCATTATCTCTGTGGGATGCTTTGTTCATACGTGTCGCAGATGGAGTCATACAATTCACTGAAGAGAAAAGCAACAATACACTTCGTTGATACAACAAAGTTCAATGGTAAATGCGACAGTGGTTTAACAAGATTCAATGGCAAGGTGCATTTGATTATTAACTGCACAGAGGACAGGGTCAGACAGAACTGTTGGGGAGACCCTCCCATTGAATGACGAGGTTCAGAAAGGACCCCCTTGTGTTCTAAACTCCTTCTCAGAGAGGAGTCTAGGTGCAGCTGGATCCACTCCTAGTCCCAGACTTGGTCAACGGTTGATGTCTAAAGGATTATATATGCGCAATCAATCCTTTATATCACTTAGCTAAGATTTCAAAGTTTAGCACACTGTTAACCACTTAGCGAGAACCTGTTGCGGCAAGGAATCTCTCAACCTCGAGGAGTAACCTTGAGAGGTGTCCATACTCGAGAGGAGATCCTGGCCTGCAGCCCACTGCTGTGCAGGAGAGGTCAGCGGGCCCTGGGCTCTCCACTGTTTATAAAGGTGATTGGCTTGTAGTCATATTTGCATATCCGCAAGCGAGCATACCAGATAGCCCTTAGCTACTACGGATGTTGCCGTCCTTCCCCCAAAGTCCAGAGTAAGCTGGATGCAGCCATCAGAACCCCCACGGGTGGTTATGGCTCAAGCCGGAGGTGGGGCGAGCACACCGCCACGATCTGGCCCTTGCTCTTTTATTCAAGCCTGAAGACGATTTAACTGTTGGCTGAAAACTAAGTGTCATATTAATACTGTAGGACTTATTTCTTCACTTGAGATTCCCAGAGCTTCCAAACCAGAAAGTTTTATGACTGTTGATAAAGGTTCAGAATTTCTTCTTGATGATGTATTTTTAAAACCTATGCATGGCTGGGAAAATCAGGCTCCCTACCTGTAAGAATGCCCCTTGTTTACTTCTCCTGGAAAATGGACCCCTTTCTTAACTTTGAGGACATTCTTTCTTGGATTGTTAGAGAATGAGTAAGACACTTATGAAAACCTTGAAACACATTTCCAAACTTCCTCCCACAGCAATATCTAGATTCATACAAATTCGTATGAGCCAGACAAACATTTGACAAGATCCAAACAAACACACAGCATTTTGCTTTTCTGTAACCTGAAGCAATTATAAACTGTAGTTTTATTTTTTCCAATTAAAAAAATATGAAGAATATTCTTATTATTTGTAATGAAGCAGAATGTTTCAAACAAAACTATGAACTATAAATTAATGAGTACCTTCTAAATTCTGGACATGTTGAATTGAAAGAGGTCTATTACAGAAGTTGAAAATCTATGTTTAATGAATACACCCACTACATCTATTAAATTGGCAAGATAATAAGTGTGCAGCTCTCTCTTTTACTTCAGAAGAACACTTTCAACATATTCATTAGCTGAGAGTTTTACCAGTCATTGCAAATATACTTCAGCTGCGCTTTTCACTTACAGACTGTGCATTGCTGTGCAAGTGTCAAGCATGCTTGCCAAACAGTCTGGTCTGAGCACTCATGCTACGTTGTTTGGGCATTCATGGTGCCTGGTCTTATGGCTTGAATGGAGTTATGGCTGCAAAAATTAGAGAGGTGGGTACTTTATAACTTATTGACCTTGGCATAATTCCTTTCTTGTTCCATTCAACTTCGTCCTAGAAAATGCATGAACGTGTGGCATTTCCAGTCTTTAAATGTCACATTCATGCAATGGAAGAAACAATTTGGCATTGAGTAGGTCCGTCGTAACAGTGGGATAAAAAACTTATCTATTTTTGAATGTCAGGGTGTTCTTAAGGTTTCCTGAAGGACACCTCTATCTCTGCCCAAGCTTCGTTTGGCCACATGGTGCCTCTCATATCTCTGTAGAATCACGAAGTGTTAATAAACTATAGTTGTGACAAGCAACAACAAGTTAATTGATTTTTCTTGGCAGATCTGTGCATGAAATGCTTCTTTCAAATAGGATGGGCTGGAGAATCCTTTATCCCTCTGTGGGTTTATAACTTAAGTCTTGCGTCCTTTTTATGTGACATCTCTGTAGTTAGGGGTTTTAGTAAAATGTGTAGCAGATGGTTACCTGGTAGCAGCAGATAACTGTTGTGTTCTGTAAGTGAATTTTGAGTCTATTTGCCAATGCCGTTTTCCCCAAGTTAGATATTCTCAATGGAGAACATCAACACTAACATAATTGAGTATGTTGCCTTTCATCATCAGATGTTGTCAGAGTTGGAGGCAGCTGGTTTATTACCTATTACCACAGCAAAGATGCTCTGCAAATAGAAAGCTTATCTTGAGAAATTATAAAGCTGATATGTACCTTCTGGTTTTCATCCTCACGTGTTATGTGAGGAATTCCTTCCTGCTTGTTCCATTTGTTTATTGCCATAAACATTGTCTACATAATATTGCTTGGTGGAGGAGTTGCTCTAAAGCCAAACATGCTTTGTTATGGCTTAAGAGTTAAGAAGGGAGGTATGGAAGAACCAAAGCATATTATGTGATATTTTTTATTTGCTAGTGGTTTTTACACCAGTTTTCCCCATTCTCTTTCTTCCTGATTGCTTCCTTGTTTTGATGAGAAGTGATAGAAAATGGCAAACAGGCAGATCCTGTGGATGTTTACACTAATGTCTGACAGCTAAAAGGCAATATATTAATGGAAGGGAAAAAAGACATTTCCCCCAAATACAGAGGATCATATAGAGGTCTGTGCTCAGCTGGCCTTTGAAAACTGTTTTCTAATGCAGAACTGAAAACGTTACATGACAAGTGGTGTATCTGACTTAATAGTAGGGTACCTTGCCTAGTCTTGCCAGCTGAAGGGGTTAAAACCAGAAGCGGTTCTGCTCCAACTTGATGGATTCTGTTTCTATGAATGGTATAGTTTCAGGAGGTGAGACCAGCTATGCCGTGCTGAAAGTCTGGTGGGCCTTGTGTTCAGACTTGTCTCTTGGCAGAGCTAAGTTCTCGTTCGGTTGACTGGGCAGCTATTATAGTGGCATTTTACAAATTGAATGCAATTGTTAGACCAAGATTTTTCAAGAGGCAAGTTTGTAGGTAAAAGCGACTTAAATGATTCTGAGACTGCCAAGTGGCCAGTGGGTTTGGTTCATTTTGAATAATATTATGTCACTTTCAGATTATTAGTAATATATAGTAATTAAGGGTAATATATTTTGCCCACTGTCTCTTGGGCAGCATGCAATGGACCCTTCCTCTGCTCTTCCAGAACTTTATTCTTTCATCATAAAAAACAAGAACCAAAGAGGTAAAATGTCTCGATACAATTTCATATTTCTCATTTCTCTTATGATTTGCAGGCCAAATTTATTTACTCTCTAAGTGTAAGAACACTTTTAAGATCTGCGAGCTCGTGCAGAAATTCAGAATTGAAACTGAGTATCTCACATGAGCATGAAGATGTATTTTACTCACAAATACATGCATTAATCTGTCTAGTGCACACCACTTGTAGCTGGAAAAATAGTGAATGATGGAAGTTTTTAAAAAGCCTGAACCACTAGATTATGTGTTTGTCATGGTGTTGTTTTTCATGAGGATGTTGAATCTGAAGCCACTGTACTCTTCTTGTGTTTTAGGTGCTGTAGCAGTTTTGATCCCTCGCCTAGACCTGGTGATTTCTTTTGTCGGCGCTGTCAGCAGCAGCACTCTGGCACTAATTCTGCCACCTCTGGTTGAAATCCTCACTTTCTATAAGGAAAACTTAAGTTTATGGACAGTATTTAAAGACATTTTTATAGCTGTCATTGGAGTTGTTGGATTTTTAACAGGGACATATGTGACGGTTGAAGAAATTATTTATCCTGCATCCACAGTTCTAGCTAATGCAACAGAGAGCATCTCTGCAGATTTAAATGCTACAAACTTAGTGAATGGTTTAAAGTAATAACCAGGCACTATGAACTATTTTGTTCCTTATCAAGAAATTCTAGATGGGTGGCAGACCAACGTGTGGGACAAATTCCAATGGATTTTAAATGAATTTTCGAAAAATAGCATGCAGCCCTTTATTATTCTGTTGTTTGTTCTTTCCTTCATTCCTTTCCATCTGCTACCTGAATTAACCCCTTTGCTCTCAACCTCTGCTCATCTAGTGAAAAACTGAATTGACATCAGGATTAAAAATATATACATGAATATAGGAAGGAAATATGATTTTAGGTTATTTGTGAGAAAAAAAAGAATAATTTTTATAAGGAAGTCAAGATGCCTTTCTCCTCAGAAAAGGTGGAAGTCACTCCATTTATCATATCCAGGCAGCAAGTCTAGGCGCTACTGTTTTCACTGCAGCTCTGTTGTAAGGGTTGGAGTGGGAGCTCAGTGGTGCATAGACCTTCTCTTGGCTGTCTCTGACAGTGTGAATTGCACCCCAGTGAACCAGAGACACCTTAGTTTTAAAAAATCGCAACTGTGTTTTTCATTTCCATGCTGGGGACTTAGATATTTGTCATGGAGAAATTTTTGGGTAGTTGCCGTTGCCTGGCCCTGATTCCTGGGAGTTGGTATGTCTGGAATCAGTGCACTGTGCGGAATGACTGTGACTCTTGTTCATTTTTTTCACATTGGCTCCAAGGGAAGTTTTTCAAGCAATTGGAAGGACCAAGCCCTTCCTGGTTAGTATAGCAGACCACTGCTGGTGGTGGGTTACAACAGTAAGTATAAAGGCATTTTTTCATGCTGACCATCTTAACATTTAAGCAGAAGAATGGACAAGACTGTAAGGTAAGTTTTGGAGGTATAGGCTGGATCTTTTATTACACCCAAATTCAACCAGTTAGGAGTATTCTTGCCATCTTACGTGATCTGTTACTATATGTTCCTGTACCATGAGCTGCTCAGCATGGCCAGACCCCTGCTCCAGGGAAATGGCAACTGTGATGCTCAATAGAGCCACAGAACTCTGACTGTCCAGAGCAGCTTAAAGATACACGACATTAATTTCTGTGTGAGAAAGGAAAGGATGAGACACTACTTTCTAGAATGGAGCTTGTGCCATACTTTCACATGTATAAGCTGTGGGTTATTTGTGAAAGATCTTGTGATTCCACAGCACTGTGAGCTGGGGAGGGCACTGAGGATGTCTGGTTTTTGAAGCCCTTTCTTCCTCCAGCACACCACCTGCCTGCAGGTTGTCTGAAGAAGTGACTCAGGACTTGCTTTCAACTACTGGTACTTTGTAGAGAGGTACGGTTTATGAGAGACATAGGGTATACATGTGAAAATACAGTATTTTTTTAGAAAGTAATTATATATCCCTTTTGGATTTTGAATGAAAAGTTACGGGATGTTGTTTATCAGAGCAATATTACTTTTATGATGCAAAACCATTCAACACCACAAATGATAAGCAGTTTATTTTTGTACATTTTGGTGACTGCTGTCCTGACCCATTTTTTACATCATTTCTTTATCCTTGATTTCAACTGTACAAATGTATGAAATATGGTAATTTTTTTTTACCTATTGCTAGAAGTCTGTAGACTGCCTATCTATATTTCTATTGGAACATAAAATAATTATTTTTGCATTCTTATGTTCTGCCTTAAATAGGATCTAACATGCCCTTTACTGATTTTTGCTGCTTTTGTCTATTTTGGAAGAAAAAAAGAACAAGTTGATAAGTTAGTAATTGGGTAGAAATTAGTTTTGTTCAGCAAGCCTGCGCATTGAGTCCCCACCCGGAATCCTGATTTTCAGGGTTCGTATTTGACTTGCTGGCTCACACTTCATAGGTGACTTTCACTCCAAATGATAAAGCTTTATTTTTGGTCTTGTTTTCTAAAAACACTCTATATTTTGTACAATAATAGAACTGTATTTATCATACTCATTCCTGTTATGAAGAAACTCCTTTTTCTAAGGAATATTTTTAATTATAATATTCCCTCAAGAAATATGGTATGCCAAACCTCTTTACTGTATTCATACAAATTAAGATATAAATACATGTAATATTTTGCTTGCCTTCAGTATATTCTTCAGAAATCTACCGTTTGGTAATCTACCGTTTGGTATTACAGTGCTAGAGTAATGTACTGCTAGATATTTCTGTATTTGTATTTTCTTTTCAGAATATTTCCCTAGTCATCTACCACATGGTGACTGTATTTGAGCACTTTCATCTCCATGTTGATGAGGGCATTTCTGATAGGGATTTGTTACAGCATGTGGTTCAAACTGCATGTATTAGTTCAAGCAATAGTTCTGAGTAGTGTTCTTATTTTCATTTTAGTGTGGACAAAGTTAAATACTTGGCAGGCACTTTAAAGGGATGAGTCCCTGCAGGTATGATACTATAGAATTAACCTTTCATATAAAAGTGCCACAGAGGAGCAAACACAGGTAGTTAGTGGAGAGGCAAAAGGTAGTGGAGAGGCAGCTTTTTGTCTTAAAGGTTTTTTAGTCTTTAGGCTGTTTTAAAAGACATTGTATCTAAGTATTTCCATCTGTTTTCGTAATCAATCTGTTGTTTACCTAAACCATATGCTACATACTGATAGAATATATTTCTGTGTAGCATATTTTACTTGACATAAAATACTTCTACATGGAACGTTTTTAGTAGGACTGTTAGGACTTAAATGAAAGTTTTTTGTGTTAATTTTGCATCTTTCTACCCATGTGTGTTTGGAGAATAAAGGACTGTGAAGTCCATTCATATCATCTTTTCTGCATCAATTGCGTCCTAGTGAGCAGCTCTGCCAGCTTCTGCCATGGTGCAGAAGGACTTGACCAGTTCAGGTTTTGGTGGTGATTTTTGGCCGGTGCAAGTGAATACTGACATGGTACTATCAATTTTGCTGAGCTGGGTACCCAGAACCTAAGTAGGTGGTCTTGGTACCCAGATGAATGCTTCGTATCTTTTTGAAAGTCAAGTGACTTGTTTAGAAGCTTGATAGGTTTGAGGAAACTAATCTTAGCCACCAAACTTTGGATAACCTGGCCCAAATACAAACCCTTACACGTCTTATTGCTGTGTCTCACCCGGGAGCAGCCTGTCAAGGAGCAGGTTTTCAGACTGATGTATTGCCACTGACCGACCAGGTATGAAGTAATGTGTTTATGCAGTGGGCCAGTGTTGCCGTGTCAAACAATGTTGTATCTTTTGAATCTTTAAAATGTTAATTAATATATTTTGCACAATGTTGATTTTCTCCTACAGTGTAGGATTTTTGTTACTTTAACACTCATACAATGCATTTCTGTGGCTTGCTCTTTCAAATAGAAAGAGTCAGGAATCAGAGTATTGTGCTTTGGATAAGATTAAAATGTCACGTAGTAAAAAACTACTAAGTCTGAATAATAAGAGTGTTCCTATGAAACATTGCCAAAGATTTAAAAGATAGAAAATTCTGACAGAAACCTCTTCTGAATAATAAGAGTGTTCATTCAGCTTTTAAAGTACTGTAATATAAGTTGCAAGTTCAGATGCAGGGAGTGAAACCGAGAGATTTAATAGGTGTGGTTTACATTAATATATATTTAAGATGGAAATGTACTTTAGCGCAAGCTAAATTAAACTGAAAAATGTATGTGACTGGCTTATGTTCCTGACAAGGAACAGAAAGCTATTGTATTTATATACTGTACCTGCACTTATATTTTACAATATAATATTGTTAATGGTTGTAATGTAATTTAATCATTAGCTGCACTGTAAGTAACGGGATCATTTTCTTGTCTGTAGCTGTTCAACCTCAAATATTGGGCAAGTAGGAGGGTGGGTTTGCCTAATGTTCTGTAACTTAAATCTTCTGTATCAATAAAGACTACAATAATATTACCCTGCTAACTCACTGATATCCTGCCTGTCACCACTACTGCATCACTAGAAGAAATAGCTGTCTTGATGCAGAATTTACCTTTGAAGTTATCAATGCAATGGTATGGGAATGGCAAGCAAGTGACTTGAGACTGTCAGACAAGCTCAAGAGCTGACTTTTGATTGAACATAAATCTCATTTCAAAGTCATTTGGTGCTATTTGAGATGTCTAAGAGCATCTAGACATCCATCCAGTTTGTAGATATGACAAGAGACCTGAGCTCTCCTGAGCAGCAGTAGGAGACAAGGCAGGATACACTAGGGCATCCCAAAGGGCAGTGCATGCCTGTGCTTGGCAGCTAGACTGAGCCCTGGACCATATAGGTAGTAATGGAGCTTAGAGTAATTTAGCTGACCAGCCACTCGGGGGGTGTGGGGGGGTGTAATTTGTCTGAACATAGTACCTTGTGCCACCTTCAGGTGTTGCTCAGGTTTCCCATAAGTCATATCTTTGGTGATATCTGTGCAGCTCCATGCAAATGTCCCAGAAATACGGTGGCATTACAAATGACACTAAATGCCTGTCTTGAGGCTTGAACTTGATCCATTTTTATGCATCTCAAGTGTGCTGACTTGCAGTCTAGGCTTCAATGACTAGTATAGGAGCTTAGACACCCAGGTCACATATGGACGTCTGTATGTGCACTATGCTATCTAAATTTAACCTAGATCTGAATACCCCCAAAAGTCATGCTGCTTGCGTTGGCAACAAGGGTGTGTAACTCTGAAATACTAGTGGCGGTTTACCACTCTATCTTGCCTTGTCTTCTACTGCTGATCAGGAAGGACTCAGATCTTTTGCCTATCTGCTAATCACACATGGACGTTTTGGTGCTCTTATACATTCCCAGTTGTTTCAATCATTGCTTATGGCGATAAAGATTTGCCTTTTTGTAATTGGTTTTCAGGAACCGTCTTTCATGGGGTGGTGATGAGGGTGGATTTCTAAGCTGGAGGTATAAAATAAAATCCAGATCATGATGTCCACATTCTGGATGACCCTGCTCTGTAGTAAACTCTGAACACCTGAATAAGGACCTTGACATGCAGACCTATGGAATAA